TTTTTTTTTTTTTTTATAATTTTATTAGTGTGGAAATAGGAGAATCTGTTCGTGGAGAAGATGTGTACATAGTACAAAGTGGAAGCGGAGAAGTAAATGACAACTTGATGGAACTGTTAATTATGATCAATGCTTGTAAAATTGCTTCTGCATCTCGAGTAACTGCTGTAATTCCGTGTTTCCCATATGCGAGACAAGATAAAAAGGATAAGGTAGGATATATTGATAAAATAATATTTATTTTATTTTTTTTTTTAGCAATTGTAGCATTATATACATAGAAATTATCAAATTAAAAAAAATAATGATGATTTTTAAAAAATCAACTTATTTTATTTAAACATAAAAAAAATATTTTATTTAGTTTTTCTATTGTTTTCTAATATTTTATTTCATTAAATGATATATCTCTTATGATTATGTGTGTGTGTGTGTGTGTGTATATATATATATATATATATAATTATCATATCTTATAAACATATTTGTAAAGTTTATATCAAAATATTTTAATTTTTTTAAATTTTATATGATATATGATGATAAATTTAATTTATATTGTAGTTTGATTTTTGTTATTTATTTTGTTTTTATTAATAATTGGATGCTACTTCTGATTATAATTATTTATTTATTATATTTATATATTTTCATTGTTTATTATTTTTAAAAACATAATTTACTCGTATTATTAATATAAATTAATAGAATGAATTAATGTATAAATTAATATATTAATGTATACACACGCACACGCGCACGCGCGCGTCCACACATACACACACACACACACAAATGAAGCATACAAAGTGTGAATATAAAATACTTATATAAAAAAAATAATTTAGAAAAACTATGCTTTGAATCTAATATTCTAAATACATATTAATTATTTTATTGATGTATGCTATCAATTAACATATTTAAATTGCTTTACATATGTGAATAAAGTAGATACTCCTGTAGGGAAGAAATGCTATATTTATAATTTCTATAAAATAATATGATATTCAAATTCCTAATTTAGCTTTGTATATATTTATCTTTTTAATTAAATATTTATTAAATGTTTATGTGCTTATTTCTCTCTATAAACAAGTTTAATATAATAATTATATTTTAAATAATTTATATAGTAAGTTATAATTTTAATAAAAATTATTTATTTTATGTAATCTACACAACTAAAGTGCAAAAAAAATGTGGTTGCCGCAATAAGGAAATGGCTTGTTAAAGAAGAAGTTAAATTTTTTTTGTATCGTATCTTCACAGGGTGGTGATGGAGGTGACAAGACAAATTCTAAGAAACAAATTGTCATGAAGTCAAACGAATGGAAATTCAGGGTAACTTGTAGCGGTCTTTTTTTTTTATTCTATTTATTGTTTAATAGCTTTGTAACAGACCAATGAAATAATATCATATCTGAAATGCAAAACATGAATTTTCATCATCATACAAGATATGCTTATAATTTTTTGGCTTACATCATTGGGTTGTATCGAATGATATATTTGTTTTGTTTTTTGGAATTTATTATTTTATAGTTTCTTTAAAATCGTAATTAATATAAATTAATATTAATTATAAATTGATATCTAATTTTGATACATAAGACAAGGAAATGATTTAAAATTTCGGATATACGCTATAAATATTCTAAAATATTTAAATATTCATTATATGTAAATATATAAGCAAAAATTTATATGTAAAAAAATAATGTCTAAAAATTATATATATTTATTATTTAGTAAGAAGTAATTTATATATATATATATATATATATATATATACATATATAATAATATAATATAGCATGCATTTGAAAAATCTAGGGTATATATTATTTTAAAAGATATTAATCGTTCATTTTATACATTTAATGGGATAACTTGAAAATACGAAATACATATTTCATGATATACATAATATGTACATTATTTAATAAAAATATTTATATTTCGTAATTTGCATGAAATCATTTTACAAAAATACTAATTTTTATTAATATATATGTATGTATGTATTTGTATATATACACATATATATATATGGTCTCATTGCAAAATTATATTTCGTGTAATATAAATGATATGAAAGTTCATATAATTTTGCAATAAATAATTAACAAAGCTGTAAACAACAAATATAACCGAAGTATTACGTTTAGTAATTATCAGAAGGTTATCAAAAGTTAGATAACCCATATGAATATTGCAAAATTAATATCAGAATTCATCGAGGGGGGCCTTTTATACATTCATATAATAATATTTACATTATTGTCTATTGAGACAATGCAGCTTAATCTATTAAATCTTTTATTTGAAAAATTTATTAATATTTTTTTTAAATCTTAATAATTGCCTATATCATATTTTAAAGAAATAAGCACAATAAAGGAATATTGATTTCATGAAAATTTAATCAATATTATAAGAAATATAATAAAAATTATTATTACGATTTAACTTTTAATAATCTTTATATATAGCATATTGTAGTATGCCAATAATACCAATAATAAATTTATATTATTGATAATATAGTTCTTGTTAAAAGATTGATATTTTTCTCGTTAAATTAAATTCTGAATAGTTGGGTATTTTCAGGATTTTGTGCTCGACCTCTCTACAGTGAGTATAAGAACAATAAAATTGTAATGTTTGTCGAGTGTAACATTTGTATTTATAACTCGATAAACAAAATTCGGCTTTTTAATATCTTAATTTCTTTTAAAATTATTTTTGTAGGACTAACAATACTTATAATTATTGCTATATAGTACAAATAAATAATTGAATGAATGAAATTATCTTTGATCAAAGCAATTGTTACTTGAATAAGAGGGCAAAATATTAATATAATAGTATTTTACATACATTCTTAATAATCTACATATACATAATGGGATATAAATCTATACGTTAAATGGGTACTAATTTAATTACTATTAGTTTATAAAATTATTGTTATTTAAATATACTAATCAAAAAGTGCCTACCTTATTAACGAAATAGTGCTTTTGCAAGAAAAAATTGTGATTGTGTTGTGATGTCAATAGAATGTTACATCAAAGAATGACTTATAAAAAAAACATTTTTTTAAAATAATTAATGTTAAATTAGAGTTTTTAAAATTTATACTTATTATTAAATTTATCAAGATAACCTAATTATAATTATTTTTTTGATCGCAATGCATTTGTGTTTATTTAAAGGATATATTTATTAATGATATTTATACGATATCAAAATATACATGATCATAATTCTAAAATTATGAAATTTATTTTGTCATTCTTTCAAATTTATTTAATTTATTACTATGCAAAATCAAGAAATCAAAATGCATTGTATATTATAATTTAGTTTGAATTTTGCTTTACTTACATTTTCTTGTTGAGTCTAACTGGGGTGCATTTGCAACATATTGTTTTTGTTTTTATATGTATATACACAAGTATAATATATTTGTAATAAATATTTTAATATATACATAGCCATTGTATTCATATTTTGTCCCCTCTAAAAAATTAAATTTCTGTTGTATGATATATATTTTTTATAAAAAAAATTTTACAAGTTAATATATTCCCCTATTTATTGATCTTATATAGCTTTCTAAAATTTTTTCAAAATTTTAATGGCAATTTTTTTAAATTGCAGGATATTTCCAGTTGCAAATGGACTTGAGAGACTTGTGTAATTTTACAAAATTGAAATTAGCAATTTCTTTTTTTCAGAGTCGTGCACCTATTTCAGCAAAATTAGTAGCAAATATGCTATCAGTAGCAGGAGCTGATCATATTATTACAATGGATTTGCATGCTAGTCAAATACAGGGATTTTTTGATATTCCAGTTGACAATTTATTTGCTGAACCAGCTGTTTTAAAATGGATTAAAGAAAATATTATAGAATGGCGAAATAGCATTATTGTTTCGCCAGATGCTGGTGGTGCTAAAAGGTAATTCAAAATTAATATTAATATAAAGTAAATATATGGAGAATAAAATAAGGAGATTATCTTAACAGGGTAACATCAATCGCTGATCGATTAAATGTTGAATTTGCTCTTATACATAAAGAAAGAAAGAAGGCGAATGAGGTGGCTAGTATGGTATTAGTTGGAGATGTAAAAGACAGAGTTGCTATTCTAGTAGATGATATGGCCGACACTTGTGGGACTATTTGTCATGCAGCAGAAAAACTTTTAGAAGCTGGAGCAACAAAAGTATATGCAATTTTAACACATGGCATTTTCAGTGGCCCAGCAATTAGTAGAATTAATAATGCCTGTTTTGAAGCTGTGGTAGTAACAAATACCATTCCTCAAGATGGTCATATGAAGGATTGTCCAAAAATACAGGTATAATAATAATTGTAACATTTTATTTTATAATACATAAATATACATACAAGATATATATTTATGAAATTAACCGAAGCCATAATATAAAAAAAAATTTTAAAATCGTTCAATTAAAATTAAACTATACAATTTACATATATATTAAATATATTAACTTATATATATAATCTTTTTTTTAATTTATGATTTATTTTCTATTCTTTATAAAAAAAAAAAAGAAAACATATTGAAAAACAAAACATATTTTATTTATTTATTTGCAAGACTTATTTATATGAAAGACAAGAAAATATAAGGCAACTATTTTGCATTTTTCCTTATCTTTTATATGCTAAATTTTATGAAATTAAAATTAAAATATCTTTTGGATGTTTTTAGATATAAGTTTTTTTATTATTTTAGAATTATAGTTTGGTCCAGTTAATTTGAAATATAATATAATTTCAACGACATAAAGATGTTTTTCAACATCAAATGATATAAGTCAAATATAAATAATAATAAAGATAAAGGTGAATCTAAATAAAAAAAATGATATATACAAAGCTTCATTTTTGAATGAATCGATATTAGAAAATTCATTGAGTATGTATATATGTATAATCTCATTTATTTTCAAAAGATATCACTTGTGCGTGTAATTGTGCGTGTAAATTAATTAGATAAAAACAACATAAATTAATAACATTTTTTTTAATCATGAAAATTTTTTTTTATCAATTTTATTTTATTCTATTATATTACATTTATATATATATATATATATATATATTATTATAATATATATATATATATTATTATAATAATAATAATAATAATAATAATAATAATAATATAATATAATATAATATAATCAAATATATATGTTTTCAACAATGATTTATTTAGGAATGAAGCTCTATAAAAAAAAAATTATATTTTCGATTTACTTTCTTATACATTTAAATTCTTTTCCGGTTTTCATAAAAAATGATATTATTACTAGATTGTGAATGTTTATGCATTTATAAAATATTTTAATATAAAATCTATGGAATATAAATATAGATGCTTTGATTAAAATTATTACAAAAAAAAATTTAAATATGAATTTTACAAGTTTCTCTAATATTATCTTAAAAATAATTATCATCAAGATATTTCGCTTTCAATATAATTTTATTCTTATTTATTTTTATTTTATTTCTTAATATAATATAGAAATATAGAAATAATCATATCGTGTATAGACATTTAAAAGAGATATGTTTATATGAATATAATATTATATATCTTTTTCTAGTGTATTGATGTATCAATGATGTTTGCTGAGGCTGTAAGGCGGACTCACAACGGTGAATCTGTATCGTACCTGTTTTCAAATGTACCGTATTAAATACAAATCTTCCTGATAATGTACTCGTTTAAATTATGTAAGAAGAATGTAATCTTTTTACATCTATTTACTGTTATTCTTAGTTTAGTTAAACTTATTTGTCTTAGGAGTAAATTTGGGATAAGCACCAATATCCCGTTTTTAATTTGAAAACCATATGTATTTTTTTCTTTAATAGACGTGTGTAGGAGACATTAGATGCATACTATACTCTCCATTTTAAAAGAAAAGTAAGTTAATAAGTAATAGATGCAAACAGAAGCTTCAGAGTAAAATTTTTTAAAAATAATTAAATTTTCGCTAAATTGCCACTTCATATGTAGAATATAACCATATAGAATATATGGTTGGATTATTCTATTCTTTTATAATTTAATTTGATTAATTATTACGGTATGAAATAACATTATCGTGGCAATTATATGAGACTGGGGATAAAAAGTATTGTAATAAATGCAAACAGACATTCATACCATATGGCGATATAACTACGTCATAAAGGCATATTTCATTTTTTACTGTTACGTATAAAAAATTTCCAATATGTAAGTACAATTTTTCAATTTATAATTAATGCGTTAAAGCAAATTAATTTTTTACTTTTTATCTGATATAATGTGGTATATTATATTTTAATAAATTTACTACATTGTATGCAACAGAAAAAAAGAAAAATCAAGAAGATATATACTTTTTTCGATTATCTTTTACTACTACATTACAATTTTTAAAGAAAGGGAAAAAAAAATCGTCATTTATATGAACGTAATCCTATTATCGAAAATAATTATGCTCATTTCATAGAGGAAAGTGACTTTACAATTACTAAAGCTTTGGACCAATATTATATGAAAATATAAATCAATATATAGATACAGCATTGTTTATATGCAAATTTTTCTCAATTTAAAAAAGTACTACTTGTTATAATAAATTGGATATTATAATAAATATTTTTAAAAAATGTAATTTGAATTTAAATATTTTATTACTATGATAAAAATTATGTACATTTTACTATTAGTATTATTTTATTATCATGCCATTAGTTCAAATGATTAAAGCATTTTTAGAAATATTTTATTTTCTTTAAAAATTATATCATTCGTAAAATATAACTAAAATCTCAAATTATTTGATTAATTAAATATAAAATTTTAATATATTGAATTTTCGTTATTAGAATTAATTAATTAATTAGAACATATTGTTCTATTTTCTATATGTTAAATTTTAATACTCAAATATTCTATATCATCACGTTATTATCAATGAATACTATTTATTACATTAAAAATTACAAATAATCTATGAATTATGGATTAATTATTTACGATGTACTTTATCACTGCAATATCAAATATTTTGCTGACTAAATAAATAACTAAAATTTTATGTATACTTTAACATGACAAAAACATATATAACTTAATTTATTATATTATATACAATAACTTAATAAAAATGAAATTATGTAACTTTCGTATAAAAAAATATACAGTATGCAGGATTCCTGTAATATTTGAATACTTTGAAATACTTTTAATTTCTTTAACATGTTTGTAAAATAGTTTCTTAAAATAATATAACTAAAATTTCATAAGTACAAAAGTGTTCTATTTACATGTTATTTTATACGAATAAAACTAATGAATAATATTTTAAAAAATGATTATAATATTTTTACATTTGTAAAGATAAGTAAAGATAAAAAAAATCTTGGTAATTAAAAATTACCAAAAATTAAAAATTATTTTCAGCGTTTCTTAACTATCTTAAAAAATCAATATCAATATCAATATCTGAGAATTATAATTTTTTTATATGTGATCTGCAATTTTCTAGAATAGATGGATAATATTAAATATAAAAGATATGTAATATGTAACAAAATTCATAAAAATATATACATAAATAAATTAATGTTTTCTTATATGTACTTGATTAATATGTTTGTATGTAAGAAATGTAATGAAATTTATTACTATATTTAATCTTTTTTATGATTTATAATGACCAGATGGTAATGTTATATCGAAGACTACCGGTGGATTACTTGGTAAATAATTTAAATCGCATGTTGATGCATTTACATATATTATTTTTCCATCGGTTGAGATGCCATATCCTATAATATGATATATGTATAATTAATATGAAAGAAAAACGAACTAATTTAATAATATACCTTCATGTATATGACCAAAAACATGGTATTTTGGTTTAACTCGATTTTGAACTGTAGAAAGTAACTCGACGCATCCAGCTCTTACACCGCTACAACACAAATCTCCATGCCCTACAGGTGGCGTATGTGTTACAAGAATATCTGTATCTGATGGTATCATTTCCCATTTTGAAAGACATGCTTCTCCACGAGGTACATTAAATGCCCATTTACAAAATTCTGGTTGCCTAAAATATAAAAAATTTTTAAAGAAATATGATACATAAAGTATTTCTATAATGCAAAATATTCACCATGGAGTGCCATATATCTTTATTCCGTGTATTACAATTTCTGAATCTTCTAAGTAAATACAATTTGTCAAATAATCTTTAATATTAGTAGTCTGTATCGCTTCTGCAAGAGTATCTTTGGACATCCCTAATGTAGGTATGTCATCAAGAATACTGGTCCCTGTATGTTTTTGACGATTACCACTGGTTTGTAAAGAAAAAGGATGAGTAAATGTAGGATCAAAGCTAAGTTCGTGATTACCAGCTATAACAATTTTATTTCTGTGTGGTAAATTACCTATAATAAGATAACTATTATTATATGCTAAATGTAAATCTATAAAAAAATATATCAAATTACCAATCCAATCATTAAAGTCTATAACTTCTTGTAAACTACCACATTTTGTAAAATCTCCAGCATGTATAAAGATATCTCCCATGGGTATATCAAATTTTATAAATGGCGTTAATGAATGAGTATCGCTCATACAAACAATACGAAGCTAAAATATTTAAACATTAAAAAATTACGATAAATTATCTTTTTATAAAATATAAATTCAATAAATTATTTATAAATTACAATAAAAATCTAATATATTGACTCTATATATTTAGGTTAGATTCAATAAATATTTTTAATAAAAAAAGATAAATAATCTAAATGTTTTACCTTATCATTTGGTGCATCAGTTGTTGGAAGTTTAGTATTTATTTTAATAACTTTTTGCTGTTGTGATAATTCATGCCAAGCTGCTGTAGGATTGTTTGTCAATGGATGAATCTCTATCATCATGCTAAAAAGATTATAACAATTTCTTGTCAAATGATTTAAAAAAATAAAAAAAAGAATCTATTTTTTTATTTACATTAACTTCATTGTATCTTTCAAAAAAACAATATTAATAACTTGATCAACAAAGAAAACTCTATGCATCGAAGATTATAGATTTATATATGTGCATTACATATTTTGCTTGCTTTCGCTTACAAATTAAACGTTTATATTTTGTTACAAACTTATAATGTTAATATTTTACATAATTTGCTTGTCAATTTGTGTGAATTAAATTTTAAACATATACAAATGTTATAAATGTTATAAATAAATAAATAATTAAATTCGATCAAATTTAAAATTTTCTTAAAAATATTTAAATATCAACAAAATAATTAAAATTTACATCTTTATTTATACATATATATATATATATGTATATATGTATAAATAAAGATGTAAATTTTAATTATTATTATTTTTTCAATATTGATAAATAAATATACGTGATGAAAATTATAATTTTTGCATTTCCGCGTAAGTAGATATCGGTTAAATGATATTGATTTTGTAGATTAAAAAGATTTTGACGAATGGAAACAATAATATATAAAATAAAAAATTGATTTAAAAGTTAAAAAAAACTGCCTTTAATAATCGAATCAAATTAAGAATTGTAATTATATATTATATCTTATATATTATATTATATATTGTGACAGAACAAATAAATAATTATAAATAATAATATCATGTGTATCTTATTTATTCGCAAAAATATTTTTATAATAAAATTATTTAAAAGAATAATTTAAATAATTTAAAAATTTTAAATTAATCGAAAAAATTTTTATTTGGCGCTAAAATAATGATGCAGATTATGATACCAAAGATCTGTTTTCAATATAAATTTGATGTCAAAATTTGATATGATTTGATTTGATATCAAAATAGATTTAATATCAAAATCAATCTACAATGATAATACGAATAAAATTTTCTAATTAAACTAGAAAATTTGTAGATATTTAGTATTATGTTATAATATAAATAAATAATATAAACAAAATATATTATTTACAAGGTAATTAAAATAAGAAATGATAATTACGTGTATAATTATTAAAATTTTATTAGTTTTTTAAATCAGTTAAGTTGAATAATTGTAAGTAAGAGTAGTAGGGGAATTGAATAATATAAAGCAATAACGCCCATTGTTTTCGTCATTCTTGGTCTAAGGTCCAAAAAGATTAAGAATGGTAATTTAAGTAATTTTCTATTTTTATTATAATTATTGGTAAATAATTTCGTCTCGATATATTTGACGATAACTTTAACGAATAAAATAAACTTTAGTTTTAAAATAAACTTTTATTTTAAATATATTTATATATTTAATATAAAATTTCTATAAGAATTCTAGATAAAATCTTGATAATTCTAGATGAAATATTAAATAAAATGTTTCATATATATAAAGTTTATAAATTTTAATATATTAAAAATTAAAAACGAAGTTATAAAAAAACGATTTTAAAATTATATATATTGTAAAGACAAAAATTATCAAAATGTTTTCACACTTCAATATTTCAACATTGGTAAGTACTGTGTAATTATGAAATTTTATATAAAAATTAAATAATGCTATATAAAATAATATTATAAAATAAAATCTATTATTTTGTCTTATTTATTTTATTTTAATAAATTTTATTTAATAAAATGTATAAATTATATAATATATAAAATATTAATAAATATATACCATATGTTCTTTAGGTATTGAAAAGAATATCATATTCAACGATAAGAAGATTTACATCAAAATCTGATTATGCTACAGGATATAACTTTGGTTAGTACATTAAATATAATTAAAAAAAAAATAAAGTCATTTATAAAAATGAAAAATATACATTTGATATTTTTATTTTAGAATTAAATGATATGCAAAGAGAAATGCAAGAATTAGCACGCAAATTTACAAAAGAAGAAATTATTCCAGTGGCTGCAGAATATGATAAAAGTGGAAAATATCCATGGGATATTATTAAAAAAGCATGGAGTTTAGGCTTATTACATAAACATATTCCTAAATATTGTGGTATAATCAAGATTTATATGTTTAAAAAAAAAAAGAAAAAATTTTTAAATTTTAAAATTTAAAAAAAAATTATAAATATGTTATAAATTATAAATTATAAATATGTATTATAAAAATTTACTATTCATAGGAGGTATGGAATTCAATAGCTTTGATGGTTGTTTAATCACAGAGGAATTAGCTTATGGTTGTACAGGAATATCGACTGCATTAGAAGGATCAGAGTTAGGCGTAAGTTTATTTTTATAGTATTTTTATATTCATATGAAATAATATTATTTAAATATTTCTTTAAAGGAAGCTCCTGTAATTGCATTTGGAAATAAAGAACAACATAAGAAGTATCTTGGTAGACTTCTTGAAGAGCCAATTGTTGCTGTAATATAATGAAATTCATATGTAATATAATTTTTTTTTATAATTATTTTAGTATAAAATTTATAGGCATATTGTGTTACTGAACCTGGAGCTGGATCAGATGTAGCAAATATTAAAACAAAGGCTGAAAAAAAAGGGAATGAATGGATCATTAATGGAACAAAAATGTGGATAACAAATGGAGGTGTTGCTAATTGGTATATTGAATTTATTATTAATTTAATTATCATTAAATAATTTAATATATAGAATATAAAAAATTATTGATATATTGCATAGGTATTTTTTATTAGCAAGAACAAATCTTGATCCAAAAGCTCCTCCTAGTAAAGCTTTCACAGCTTTTATTGTTGAGCGCGAAAGTGAAGGTTTAACACCTGGTCGAAAAGTAAATTTTTTTATTATTAAATTAAATTATTAAATCAAATTTTATATTATTTTAAATTATTTTATATAAATTTTAAATTATTTTATCTTATAAATTTTTTATTAAATATAAATTAAATATTATAAATTTTTTTTATATTAAAATAGGAAATAAATATGGGTCAAAGAGCTTCTGATACTCGAATGATAACATTCGAAGACGTTCGTGTCCCAGAAGAAAATGTTTTGGGCAAAGAAGGAGAAGGATTTAAGATTGCTATGAAAACCTTTGATAAGACAAGACCATCGGTAAAAACATTCTTAAAAAAAAACTAAATTGAAATTGAAAAATCAGATATTATTTTTCATTTTTTTTTATAGGTAGCAGCTGGATCAGTCGGTTTAGCTCAAAGAGCTTTAGATGAAGCTCTGAAATATGCAACCGAACGTAAAACATTTAATACGATAATAGCAGGACATCAAGCCATAGGATTTATGCTTGCAGATATGTCGATTGGTATCGAAACTGCTAGACTTGCATGGATGAAAGCAGCTTGGGCTTCCGATCATAAACTTCCAACAACTACATTTCTTGCCAGTATTGCAAAATGTTATGGTGGTGATATAGCTAATAAATGTGCAACAGATGCTGTCCAAGTATATAATTATTATTTAATATTTTTATTTTCCTTAAAAATATATATTTCCTTGAAATAATTATATATATATATATATGAAATTTTTTACAGATTTTTGGTGGTGCTGGATTTAATACCGAATATCCTGTAGAAAAATTAATGCGAGATGCAAAGATTTATCAAATTTATGAAGGTACTGCGCAAATTCAAAGACTTATAATCTCACGTTATTTAATTAATCAAAAGAGAATATAGTTTTTTCAATGAGATTTTAATTTTATTTTTAAATTTCTATAAGAATATTTGAATTAATATTTATATATATATATATATATATTTATATATTTATATATATATATATAATGATAGAAAATTTTTTACATTGTGAATTTCTGTGTTGAAATAACTTTTTTTTAT